CCGGCTGCCCCAGACGCTCCCTGGAGGAAGTGTCAGTTACTCCACCCCAGGGCTAAGCGAGCAGTTCTAGGGTTCTAATCCCTCCACACACACTCCTCAGGAAGTGCCGTGTCCCCCCTCCACAGCCTGCTGAGCTAGGCAGACCGGGCAGGGCCAGCTCTTCCCAGGCTCATCTCCCCACAGACAGCCCCAGACATTGTGCCTTCGGACATCTCTAGACCAGAAGCGGCATCGTGTGCTCCCCACCGACCCCTTAACTCCAGGCACGTGGCCTCGGCCAGGGAGGAAAGCCAGGATGCCGCCGCTGCAGCGCACTCCCACCCTGGGTGTCCTGCAGGAGCACTGGGGTCCCTCCCTTGTCTTCTGTTCGTGTGTTCTTGATTTTTGCCACAGAGTATGTGCACTTGCTACAGAGACAGGAAAGACAGCGAGAGGGAAGTAAGAAATCACCCCGGGGGGAGGCCACACCGTAGTCCCCTTTTCTTCATTCTCCTCTTGGGATTTTGAGCATGCATGCATACCTCTCTGGTGGGATTTTCAAGCTGCCGGGTCTGGGACTCTAACTGTGGTCAGCCACCAGGGAGTCCAGTTCCTTAACCACCATGCCACCTGCTGGCCCCCTTCCTTGTCTTTTAATTGAACTAGATTGAGTTAGGTTTTCACAGTTATGATCAAAAGAGTTCCAACAAATACAAACCCATATTCATCCCATGAGCAAAAACACATCTCTGTGGATGAACCCACTAAACTCGAAGAACAAAAATTCAGAAGTATTAGTAGAAAATATAAGAAAATGTGGGCTGGCAGGTGGCGTGGTGGTTAGGGGCACTGGACTCCCACATGGCTGGCCACAGTTCGAGTCCTGGACCTAGTGACTTGCTTTCTCACTTTCTTTCTCTCTCTCTTGCTGTCCCTCTAAATAAATAAATAAGTAAATAAAGTTAAAGAAAATATTTTTTAAAAAGAGAGAAAGAAAATATAGAAAAATATTTATATAATTTTGGGGTTGGACGGCCTTCCTCAAAATTGCACAAAGCCTAGTGACCATAAAGAAGAAGACAGCTGACTTGTACACCCATGAACATGACTTCTGCGTAACGGAAGACACCACAAGCGGCACAGAGAAACAGCAAGTTCACGTCAGGCTGCAGAGAACATTTGAAGTATTGTAACATCCCTGATATGAAAGAGTTAATATCCTGGGGCCAGCAGGTGGCACAGTGGTTAAAGTGCTGGACTCCCACATGGCCGACTGTGGTTTGAGTCCTGGACCTGGTGGCTTGCTTTCTCACTTTCCCTCTCTCTCTCTTTCTCTCTGGTCAAATTAAAAAATAATAATAAATAAAATAAATAATTCTTTTAAAAAAATAGTTAATATCCCTAACACAAAAAAGAGGAAAAGATAATTTAAATAATCTTAAATTATGAACACAAATACGAAAAAGATCATAAAAAACCTGAAAGTCATGAATAGGTCATTCATAGAGAAGCAGAAATGTGAGTAAAGTTGAGGGCCTCAGATTCCCCAGTGGCCGGAGAAGTGCAAAGTGCACAGAGAAGCACACTCACTCCGCTCAGACGGCTGCACCTCACGGACACCTGTCGCTGCTCAGCATTGACCTTGGACAGGGACAGCTAACTCTCACACCCAGTGGTGTGGCCTTCTGAGAGGACGGGAGGATGGGCCCCTCAACACTGAAGGTGACGTACCCTTGTCCTGGCAGTTCCACGTGAAGAAACCGACCAGCAGAAATACCCCCACGAGTGCACAAGCCGTGTGAGACACCGGGGCTAACCCCCGAGAGCCAGCGGGCGGGGGCTGGCTGATCAACCATTCTGTGGGACGTACGCAGCCACCACAAGGAGGACAGCCCTGCCAGGATGCCGCGGCAGTGAGATCGAGAACGTCGACCTGGGGACACAGGTCTGTGCACGGCAGGGTAAGAGCGCACGCTGCGGGACGAACGCCTGGGTTCGAAGCCCGGCCCTTTCACACACCAGCCGTGGTCTTGGATGACTCACGTTGGCTCTCTGTGACTCACTAGTCTCTTTTTTTTTTTTTTTAACTTTATTTATTTATTTTAATTTCACCGAGAGACAGAGTGAGAGAGAGGGAGAGGGAAAGTGAGAGAGCAAGCTGCCAGGCCTGGGGCCATGGTCGGCCACGTGGGAGCCCAGTGCTCTTAACCATTATGCAACTTGCTGACCCCCAATTCAGTAACTCTTTTTTTTTTATTTGGAGAGGTTTTTGCTATAGGGCATATGCACTCACCAGGAAGACAGAGAGACAGAGAGACAGAAAGACAGAAAGCGAGAAATCACCCCTCAGGAGGGATGGCCATACCGCAATCCCTTCTCCTCCATTCTCCTCTCGGGATCTTGAGAACGCACACACTCACATGAGTTTAAGCCACCGGGTACGGGACTCAAACCACAGTCGACTGCGTGGGAGTCCAGCGACATAGCCATTACGCTAGCTGCTGGTCCCAAGTAACCTTATATAATGAGCACTAGCGAGTTCATAAATTAAGCATGTGGAAGAGGGCCTGGCACGTGGTGAATATGGGGGATGGCCACTCCGCAGTCTCCTCTCCACCATTCTCCTCAGGATTTTAGGCACACACGCACATGCGCCCAGAGTGTTTTAAGCCTCTAGGTCTAGTTCTCGAACTGCAGTCGACTATGTGGGAATCCCGTGACATAACCATTACACCATCTGCTGGTCTCAACATGTATTACTTTCAATTTTAAAAACAGTGAAATGAAATTATTTTTAAAACAATTGAGTCTGGGGTCTGGTAAGTGTCATGGTGGTTAAGGTGCTGGATTCTTGCTGGTTTGAGTCCTGGACCTGGCAGCTTTCTTTCTCGCTTTCTCTCCTTCTGTCTCTCTCTGGTCAAATTAAAAAATAATAACACATAAAATTAAATAAGTAACCTTTAAAAAATACTGAGTCTGGGACCAGCAGACGGCGTAATGGCTATGTCACTAGACTCCCATGTAGTTGACCGCGGTTCGAGTCCCAGACCTGGTGGCTTAAACTCACGCTGGATGTGTGTGCGTGCATGCCCAAGATCCTGAGAGGACAATGTAGGAGAAGGGATTGTGGCATGGCCATACCCCCAGGGGATGATTTCTTGCTTTCTGTCTCTCTGTCTTTCTGGCAAGCACATGCACCCTATAGCAAAAACCTCTCAAAAAAACCCAAAAAACTGAGTCTGAGGCAGGGAGCCAGTTGGCGCAGTGGTTAACGCAGCTAGATCCCATGTGGCCAATTGTGCAGCTCAAATCCTGAACTTGCGGCTTGAGAAATACACCAGTGTGTTCATGCATGCCCAAACTCCTGAAGAGAAAGAAAAAGGGGTTATGGTGTGATCACCCTGCCACCAGGGAGCACGGTCTCACTTTCCCTCTCTCTGTCTGTCCCTGGTGAGTGCACACAACCCATAGCAAATTTTGAAAATATGAGTCTGGAAAGGAAAGGGTATCTAACTGCTGAAGATGTGTTTATTTCCTTTTTCTAAAAAAATTATTTATTTAATTTTATTTATTATTATTATTTTTAATTCACCAGAGAAAAGCAGAGAAAGAGAGAGAGATAGGGAAAGTGAGAAAGAAAGCAACCGGGTCTGGGACTTGAACTGTGGTTGGCCATGTGGGAGTCCAGCACCTTAACTACCACACCACCTCCTGACCCCAAGGTGTGTTTCTTTTCTTTTCTTTTTTTTTTTTTTTGGAGAGGTTTTTTCGCTATAGGGCGCGTGCGCTCGCCAGACAGACAGACAGAGACAGAAAGTGAGAAATCGCCCCCCAGGGGGGATGGTCATGCTGCAATCCCTTCTCCTCCATTCTCCTCTCGGGATCTTGGGCATGCACGCACACGCGCCCGGCATGAGTTTTAAGCCACCAGGTCTGGGATGAGAACCGCAGTCAACTACGTGGGAGTCGAGCGACATAACCATTATGCTAACTGCTGGTTTCCAAGGTGTGTGTACTTTTTAAGAAAAAAGGTCTAAAAGGCCTTTTTTGGAGGACCAACCTGGGGTGTGGAATGGAAGCTGCTTTCCCACAAGGGTGCTTCCCATTTTTTTTTTGGAGAGATTTTTGCTATAGGGCGCGTGCGCTCGCCAGACAGACAGAGAGAGACGTAGAGACAGAAAGCGAGAAATCACCCCCCAGGGGGGATGGTCACGCCGCAATCCCTTCTCCTCCATTCTCCTCTCGGGATCTTGGGCACGCACGCACACGCGCCCGGCGTGAGTTTTAAGCCACCGGGTCCGGGACACGAACCGTGGTCGACTACGTGGGAATCCAGCAACATAGCCATTACGCTAACTGCTGGTTCCCAAGGGTGCTTCCCATTTTACTGACATACTTTTCAGGATGAGAACGATTTTGCAACAAGCAGGCTCCCAGGGTAAGTCTTTCACTTCAGGTCATAGAGAGGGGCATGTAGGCACCCAGGCCAACTGCTCGTGTTGCTTACAAGCCCAGAGGGGACACTGTCTGGTTCTCCGCCTGTGCTCTGCAGACCCGGCCACCCATTCGCAAAGTCCTGCCTGCTCTTCTCTACTCGAGCCTCACTGCATCTGGGACATCTTGGTTCTCCGTCCTATCCCCCGTGCCACCTCCACTTCCATGTCCCCCAAGTCTTCCACCAGTCTTCCTTCCTGCTGCAACTTTTTTTTTTTTAAGAATTATTTTATTTGTTACTATTATTTTTTAATTCGACCAGAGAGAGAAAGGGAAAGTGAGAGTAAGCCACCCGATCCGGGACTCAAACTGGTCAGCCAAAGTGGGAGCCCAGAGCCTCAAGCACCACACCACCTGCCAGCCTCCCTGCTGCTTCTTGATAACAGTCCTAACTCAGGACTCCCATGTGGACAGAGATAGCTCAGCCTTCACCGGTCCTCCCCAGGCTTCAGTTTTATTTATTTCTTTACTCAGTTATTTTTGCTTCCTCTGATGAAATATGAGGAACTGGAAGGTGCTGCTCTCACCTGGAAGGCTTCCTGTCGGGCTCCCTCACGAAGGCAGGCAGGATGATGAGAAAGAAGACCAGCACAGCCAAGAGCAAGGCCCACTGGGCCCCTCGGCCCAGGCGGCTGGACCTTCTCAGGCAGGACCTCATTGTGGCGGCTCAGCCTCCAAGGGGATGTTCTGCCTATCCCGGGGCTCACGGCAGCAGACAGCCTTGCTGCTCAGTCGCCCCGCCGGGGCGCACACACCCTTTGTCCTCACGGCCAGCCACTCTGGGCATTGAGCGTGTCGGTCTCTGCCAGGGCAGGAGGGCCCGCCTTCCTACTTTATGAAGGGCTTATAGGCTACGTGGCTTGAAGGAAGAGAAACTCCTTTTGGTCAAACAAGTTCACCTTCCTTTTCTTTATCTCTGCAATTTGTGAGTGTGGAACTTCAGGAGGCACGTACACCCATTGCATACGACTCACTTCCCCTGGCTACTTGACCTTCCTGCCTCATCTACGTGTGGGAAAGGCAGGGTCTCTGCCTTGTGGGCTGACCGTGGAGACTCCAGGAGGTCACCACGAACCCTGGACCTTGGTCCCCTCCATTTCTCCCAAGGCTTCTCTCTGGGCTTCTCTCCAGTGGTTCCTGACTGCCGACCCGCCTTCCAGGCTCTGGGAATGCTGCAGGGCATGTGTCTAGCCCTCAGGGCAGCCCTTGGAGCGGAGGACCATTGTCACCCCACTCACATCAGGGGAACGGCCTCTGCAAGTCACAGCCAGCCCAAGATCTCAGAGCAGGCCACTGGCTCGGGACCCAGACCCAGCTGGCCCAAAAGCAGCCTCCATGTCCTCTCTGCACCACGGCAGCTCTGATGGCATTAATGGTGCAAAAAATGGAAAAACCTCATATAAATCTCGGGACAAAATGTACAACCAAGGGGGCCGGCAGGTGGCGTGGTGGTTAAGGGCACTGGACTCCCACATAGCTGACCACAGTTCAAGTCCCGGACCTGGCGGCTTGCTTTCTCGCTTTCTCTCTCTCTCTGTGTCTTGCTCTGGTCAACTTAAAAATAACAATAACGATAAATAAAATAAAAAATAATTCTTTTTAAAAAATGTACAACCAAGAGGAATAATGTTTAGACCAGTTGTAGGAAGCTCAGGCAATTCAGAAGCACAGCCCTCCACAGTGCACTGCACATGGTTCGTTTTATTGTTTCCAGCACGGAGACCTGCACAGGTGTGTTCGAGCCGCACAGGTGAAAAAGGTGCTGCTTGGGAGGGTAGGGCATTGAGGTTCCGGGACCTGGCTTTATTGCCCACAGCGGCAGGATGCATTTTTCTAGCACACGGCTTCCAACTCCGTGTCCAAAGCCCTTGGCTGTCACCCACGGCATGCACCTGTAAGTACATAAGCCACCTTTGCCAGGGAGGAGGAGGAGGGCAAGAAGGTGCCTCTGCCCAGCTGAGAAGAACGCAGACCGTGGGCCCCCTTCGTGCCCTCTCTTACACTGCCACTCCAAGACGTAATCTGTAATGATTAAATCAGAGTGATCAGGGTGCCTGTCCTCTTGCCATCAGGATGGGCTGGGCCAGGAGACTCCCCCTTCGTACTGGTTCCATCTCTGTCTCTCGCTCTCTCACTGTGCCCAGCCTCTAAGCGCTCGCTGACACACACACATTGTGCAGGGCTGTATGTATAACGCTTGGCCCTAACTGGCCTCCCGAGTGCTCCTGTGCACTGCACATGTGCACCCCAGCTACTATAACCTGGTACCTGCGGCACTGCCAGGCAGACAGAGCATGGGGAGAAGGCACGTTCTTACCCACAGCTCTGGCCGGACAGACAGAATGCCTCTTTCCTCCCTCCCTGTGTTCGGAAGAGTTCCCTGGCTTCTATAGGGCAGAGGGTGAGTGAGTTGAGCTCCTGGGTACAAGCGGAGTGGGACAGTCCGTGCCTCTCACTACCTTAGGGCTGGGTTGAACTGGAAATCTGGAGGCCAGCTGCTGGGTGTGGAATAATTCCGAGTTGTAGTTTCCTGGTTCTCAGGTTCCAGCCCAGTGCTACTGTGGCGGGTGCCTGGGCAGCATGTGAAATCCAGGGAAAAAACACTGTAGGGGACCGGACCCTCCAGTTATTCATTTCCTGAGCTGCCAGGTTCACGACAGCTGCAGGGTCAGCCATGTGGGATCCAGCACCTTAACCACCATGCTACCAGCTGACCCTCCAGTTGTTTTGAAAACACTGTGCCGGGGGGTCAGCAGGGGGTGTGATGGTTAGGGGTGCTGGACTCCCATATGGCTGACAATAGTTCGAGTTCCAGACCTGGCAGCTTGCTTTCTCACTTTCCCCATCTCTCTCTGTCTCTCTCTTTCACTCCGTTCCTCTCTGGTCAAATGTAAATAAATAAATAAATAAATAAATAAATAAATAAATAAATAAATAAAGTTAACTGAATTCTTTAAAAAAATAATGACAGTTCTTGTGTTTGATAAAAATCTACTTTTCTCTCCTTTTTAAACTAAAGTCTTATTTATTTATTTTAGTTTTGAACAGGGCATATGTGCTCACCAGAGACAGAGAGACCATCAATAGGTGAATGGAGGGGGCCAGCAGGAGGCATGGTGGTTAAGGCACTGGCCTCCCACGTGGCTGATCTCAGTTTGAGTCCCAGACGTGGTGGTTTGCTTTCTCACTTTCCCTTTCTCTTGTCAAATGAAAAACTAACAATAGTGGGATTAGCAATTGGCATAATGGCTATGTTGCTGGACTCCCAAGTAGTCGACAGCGGTTTGAATCCCAGACCCAGTAGCTTAAACTCACGCCGGGCGCGCGCGTGTGTCTGTGCACCCAAAATCCTTAGAGGAGAATGGAGAAGAAGAGATTGCGGCGTGGCCATCCCCCACTGTGGGGTGATTTCTTGCTTTCTGTCTCTCTCCTTCTGGTGAGCACATGTGCCCTAGAGCAAAAAAAGAAAAAGGAATGTTATGCTATTCAGCCATTAAAGGAGAATGTCATTTGAGGTTAAATAGGAGAGACCAGAGGACATTCTATGAAGTAAAATAAGCTCGTCACAGAAAGAAAAATACCACGTGTTCTTCACAGGTGAGAATGGAAGGTGACCTCGCAAAGGTCGAGAGGTGAAGGCTGGTCACTGGGCTGTGGAGGGTGGAGGGGACAGACAGAGGCATGCTGGTCAACAGAAAGAAAACTACACCTAGAAAAGAGGAACAATATCATGTTAGAAAGTACAGTGGGGGACAGCAGGTGGCGTGCGTGGTGGTTAGGGCGCTGAACTCTCACACAGCTGACTGCGGTTTGAGTCCCAGACCCGGTGGCCTGAAAATCACACCAGGCATGTGTGTATCTGTGCCCAAAATCCCAAGAGGAGAAGGGGTTGTGATATGGTCATCCTCCTAGGAAGTGACTTCTCACTTTCCTTCTCTCTGTCTCTTTCCAGTGAGCACAGGCACCCTATGACAAATACCTAAGAGAAAGAAAAAAGAATTGTGTATTTGTGCATTTGTGATATGAAGTCTTTTGAGCTGGTGGGGCCAGGGAAGGGACTCTTTCTTGTCCACATACAAGGTAATACTCTCCTACATTCCTCTTGGGCCAGTTGGTTTTCTTTTTCTAGCTAGAATGCCCCTGACGCTCAAAAACATAACATCTGTCCTTGTAACAGGCTCGACTGGAATAGCTATCTCTTAGAAGTCACTCATGGTACCACAAAGGCAGAATAATGCTGTTTGGCAGAGGAAACAAAAACAAAAACCAAAACAAAAACGGAGCTTCAGCTTCTGGCTGTTTGGCGAGGGAGATGATTAAGGGCGCCCCGGAGGACGCCGTGTGGAGCCGGCTTTCTGGCCCTTCTTCCAATACAGAGTGTTCTTTCTCTGGGAAGTCACGCTCAGTGGGTGGGGCTGTCTTAGATGACTGACTCTGGACTGGACAGCCTGGCGCGCTCGCTCTGGGCTGTGGCAGCTCTTCTCTGGGGCAGACAGAAAGGTCAGGCAAGCCTTAAAGGTCAGGCAAGTCTTCAGTTTCTGATGCAACTGCAGAACTCAGTAATGGCAAAAGAATTCCAGCTCGTTTTCCAAGATCACAGCTAGCTAGCTTGCTTGCTTTCTTTTCATTTGCTACAGGTGTGTGCACTTGCTGGAGAAAGAGAAAGAGATGGGGAATGTGAGAAAGCACCCCTTGCCCCCAGGGAGATGGCCACGCTGCAGTCCCTCTGCTCCACTCTCCACTTGGGGTTTTGGGCACACACGCACATGAGCCTGGCATGTTTTTCAAGCACCAGTTCTAGGACTCCAACCACTCAGACGGCCGGCCCTCTGGGATCCAGCTGCCTTAACCAACATGCCACTGTTTGGCCCGAGACCAAGATTTTGGAGGTGAGGGGTTCAAAGAATCATAATGTACAAACCGCCTAGTGCTTTCTACTGAAGTTCTTGTGACGAGTAATCACCGCATGGCCTGGCAGGACAGCCTCAGGAAGAGTGAGAAAATGCTACCCACGCAGCAGCGTAGGGAAGTCATGTGAAGGGAGACGGTACCGCGTGCTGTGGCAACAGCAGGCCAAGACTGTGCTAAAGCCCGTTTCCCGGCAAAGCAAGAAAAGACACAGGGAGTCCCTGAGCCCCCCACTTAGTTCCTCCTTGGTGCTCTGAGAAACGGCAATTACTGTTTTTACAGAGACATTTGCCAGGGGGTGCATGCACTCGCCAGAGAAAGAGAGACAGACAGACAGAAAGGGAGAAATCGCCCCCTGGTGGGGGATGGCCACACTACAATCCCTTCTTCTCCATTCTCCTCTCGGGATTTTGGGCACGTGTGCGCATGCACCTGGAATGAGTTTCAAGCCTCCTGGTCGAGGACTTGACCCGTGGCTGGCCATGTGGGAGTCCAGCCAAATGACCATTATGCCATCTGCTGGTCCCAGTAATGGCAATTTTTGTCAAAGCATTGCTGGCAAAGAAACTCATAGCTCTGCACTGTTTGTCTCACGGCTACCTGCCTCAGTCTGTTTTGTGTTACTAACAGAATTCCACACACTGGGTAATATATAAACGCTAGTATATTTGGCTCATGGTTCTGGAGGCTGGGGAGTCCAAGAGCATGGCTCGACATCTGGCAGGACCTCAAGATGCATCGCCCCGACAATGGAAGGCAGAGGACAAGAGAGCACGGGAGACAGAGGAGACAGAGGATGGCCCACATTACCCTGGCACCAGGAGCCCGCTCCCACACTAACGAGCCAGCT